ATAATAATATCTCGTGTCAAACCAAAGTGTCAGTAACCAAAACATTTTAGCATAAAATAATATCAGAGTGTAATCCCAAAGATCTCATGTGCGGAAAACATAGTGTGATGCGCTGCGATCAAGCCGACTCCTTTCCTTTGAAAACGAGTACCTGAAACCAAAACTGTAAACCGTAAGCACGAAGCTTAGTGAGTTCCCCCATCACACCACATACCATACAAATACATATCATCATACATACTGTCAGGAATATCTAGGTGCCCGACCTACCCCTTCGGTCCTCTCGACCCGGATACTGCCTAGCATACCTGGGTGCTGGCCTCCCCTTCGGTCCTCTCGACCGGATACTGCCTAGCATATCTGGGTGCTGGCCTCCCCTTCGGTCCTCTCGACCGGATACTGGGGACTATTTCACCCCCTACCACTACCACATCAAACCCTAGCATATAAACATAAATCACATACTGCCTAGCATATCTGGGTGCTGGCCTACCCCTTCGGTCCTGTCGACCGGTAACCGGGGACTATTTCACCCCCTACTACTACCACATAATATCATATCACATGTATCATAATCTGGCTAGCATGGTTGGGTACTAAACTATCCATTCGGTCCTATCGACCGGTAACCGGGGACTATTTCACCCCTACTACCACTATCACATAACATCATAACATGCTAGCACATAAAACATAACAGGTAGCAGCAAACCTAGATGAACATCACAAAGACAATCATCTAACATACAACTCCTAGTAGTGGACCGGCATTATGGCCGTAGACCCACCGCTACTGGAAGGTAACTCACCTCACACTGCTGAAGTCCCGTAGACACAATCCCACACTGCTGAAGTCCCGCAGGCTCAACCCCAGCTGCTGGATGACAGATTCCCGAACTGTCAACACCAAAACAACACCCAATTAATAATTAGGTTCCATTACATAACCATAAGTACGTACTTGGGGTCATTACTACATTACCCCCATGCTTGGCTTTATTCAAGCCCAAGGCCCAATCCATAGGCCCAAAAGTCCAACATTTGGTATTTCTAATAGCCCAATATCATATAACCATTAAGGCCCAAACTATGGCCCATCTATGGCCCAATTTTCCAAATTGGGCCCAAACCCCTTACATGGGCCTTACCCTAGGCCCATTAAATTATTCTAGTCCATTTTCTTGACTTTGGGATGGTCCATTAGTAACCTAATCATCAACGCCCAATAAAGAGGCCCAACAATAAACCCAAGTGAAATTAGGGTTTCACATAAAATGACGATTAGGGTTAAGTGTTTCTCACTTAACCCATTAAAGACTTAGTCCATTAAGGACTTAATCCATTAAGTCCATCATTCTTCTAAATAAGTCATATGGTGTGATTGGGCTTAATCACACAATTCCATTCCAATGGCCCAAAAGTGGGTCTCAATAAGTCCAAGCCCATAAATCCAATATTAGGGTTTTCTAAACCCTAATTAGGGTTTCCAACCCCATCTTAGCCCAATAGGCCCAATTGATATGTCTTTTGATAAATTAAGGTTCATTAGACTCATTAGTCATCTGTTTGGGCTTTTAGGTCCATTAAGCTTCATTGGGCCCATTAGGGTTTATTAAGCCCATTAAGCCTCATTGGCCCCATTAGGGTTTCTTAGTCCCTTTGTCCAAACATTCCAAACGAGTCACGATCGAACAAGTCACACCGCCACCCGACACGGCGGCCGGTGGCAGCAGGAGGCGGCAGCCACCACCCTACGGTGGTGGTTTGAGATTTCCATTATTCCATTTTTGTTACAATTTACAATGCCAATCCGATTACCACACGCACGCACACTAATCTAATTAAAAACACACACACACAGCTACCTAATGGTGGCCGGCGGTGGCGCATGGTGGCAGCCACCACCTCACGGTGGTGGTGGTGGCTGTTCTCGTGGATTCTGGCCATACCAACACCACCAACATGAAATTACACCCACACACTACACGGATTTGAAGCAGAACACACCCCCATACAACTCACAGCCACCACCTATGGTGGTTGGTGGTGACGAGGTAAGGCAGCGACGACATGCGGCACTCTAGCGGCAGCAGCGACGACACCGGCATCCCTTGCTCGGAAAACGAACCCAACACCCACCTATGGTGGGCGGCGATGGCAGCAGCAACTCATGAAGGCGGCAGCAATGATGTAACCACTGGAAAGAAACGGAGAAAAGAGAAGGTGGTGCGAGACCCACAACCAAACTATGCCTGCCACACGCAGTCGGAGCCCCAACGGTGGCAGGTAGACGTCGGAAAACGGTGGCTTCATCTTCTCGTCGGAAGTTACCGCAGCGGCAGCAGCGAGGCGGCAAGGCATCGGCCTAGAACGACGGCGTCTGGCTGTCTTGCTCGAACGGAAACATGAGTTAGATGAGTGGTGATAGCGGCCGGCGGCTAGGAGGTATAAGGTGGCGGCATCGCCGGCGATGGCGGAGGGGCCGGAGGGAGTCATAAGGGTGGCATCGGTGGAGAGGATGTAAGGGGTGAAGTTGGCGGTTGTCATAGTTCTCTAGGGTTAGGGTTAGGCAACGGTTATATACTCCCGAGCCCCATAAGCATTATTTCCATAATGACCGAATTAGCCTCTCCTTCCACCTTTTCTTTCAAAACGAATCCATAACTTACCGTTTAAACCCTCATCATTAAAATTCATTACAAATCAAGTACAATACTTACCAAACAGCCCTCCGTTCTTGAATTTCTTTGCAAAGCCGGTCCAGAAGTTACCCTTTAAACCCCAATATCTCAATTATGACATATTCAGCCCTTCCACCTCTTTTCCTTTCAAATTAACTCCAAAATTACTTAAATAGCCCTTAGTCTTCAAAATCCTTTCAAGTTAAGTCCCAATAATTCACCAAGTAGTCCCTACCTTTATAATTATTACAAAACCAATCCGGAACTTACATTTTTAACCCCCAACTTCTGAATTGTGTCAATTAACTCCTCGAAGCCAACACCCTGCATATATAATTACTTATTTTAGGGCTACCATTCATTCATTATTTTGTTTATTTATTTAATAAATAAACCGGGTGTTAGACGAATGCCATCTATTAAAGTAGTTGGAAGATCACGTAGCAATATTGGCGCCATCCGTATCATACACGCGCAAAAACGACTTCACATCGCCGTTCTCAAAAGCTTATTCCACTAGACAGTAAAAAAAATAATACAACATGCTTGGACAAAATGTTTGACACACAACAAACCCGAAAACCCCAAATACAAGGTGACAAACCAATCCTAATACATGGACACATCCATGACATATGTATACATCGGATATACTACGATACTGGGAGTTCAATTAAGATAATATACGATCATTGTTTCTCAAAGTTGTTGAAGGCAATGGGAAAGAAGCTTAAACAACCTAATGTGCATATGACAAGCTTCGTCGGGTATTCAATATGGCCCGTGGGAATATTGTATTTACCATTAACCCTGCATGACCATCACATGTAGGACAAGAACACTTAAATGCTAGATTATACGACAATACAATCGTCATCACCCTATGCTTTTACATGCATTTTGCCCAATTATAATCGTATAAAGTAATTTAAATTCCATAGTCTTAATTAATTTGCATTATTTTGTAAATGTGATAACTTGTTTGATTTCAAATAAAAAATATAAACATAAAAATAATAATACATAATGGGTCATGGCCTAAAGCCTATGCATTAATATCCCCCGATAGACTTAGGCTATCACGTATGGGAATCAATTCATGCGTGAGTTTCCTATGTGGCATCTATGTGGCACACTAACCCACCGGTGAACACCGTCCCAAAGACTGGTGGGTTGGGTGTGGAGTGAGCTCCAGTGGTGGTGAAGACGCATGAAGACATCCAATAGGAAGCCGTGAGTTTCCTTTTTCTCTCTACTTCTCTCTCCTTCTTTTTGCCACTTCACCACCAACCCACCGGTGAAAACCATTTCCACACCCTGGTGGGTTGGTTGTCGAATGTTAAAATGCCTACGTGTCCTCACCTTCACTCATCAGTCACTGGAGACTTTGTGGGATTAAACTTATAGAGACGAAGAAAAATAGATAGCATATTCAAAGAGTGAAAATAGGTCGACAGTCAGAGATCTAGAGTCGGAGAGACGTAGATTAAGAACTAGAGGCGGCAACAACGGCTAGACATGGAGGAATGTAGTGGCTATGGTGGCGAAGTTGGTGGCAGAAGTAAGGTTTCTGGCTAGATGTACGACTACGGTGATGAAGAAATTTAATACAAATTTATTGTTTTCAAAATACCGGCCATCGCTATTTCGTCCAAAATAACTAGATGATTTCCGGTGGAATTGATTTTTGTTCCTATTTCGTCGGTGTTACATTTTTAAATTACGTTTTATTATTTTGTTACCATCATGTCAATAATTCTATCGGAAATCCAACAGGTTTTTTTGGTTAGAATTGAAATGTGTATGGGAAAAGTCCTATTTTTCTAGTAGTGTGTTCTGCAATAATTTTTCGTTTGATCTTCAAACTAGTTGTGTTAAGATTCATTAACGTGTACAGAAAATAACACGGTGCGGCCCTTCATAGCTGTTTTTTTTATTGAATTGAGTTGAGTAAGGAAGTTGAGTTTTGCCGGAAAAAAAAGGAATCCTTTCCGAAATTTCTAAATATTTTTAATTGTTGATGTGTTTTTCCGGTCAATTGATTAATGATGTTGTAACATAACTTGTTCCAATAAATAAAATAGAAAATATACAGAGTCATCAAGAAAGGAATACAATCCTTTGCCCCAAAACACAATATCATCTTAAAAACTCAAAGAGTTGAGAAGATAGTCGTAAATCCCACACCATCTTTTTCTTTCACAACAGGTGACATGAGGGAGAGATCATATTCCAAACTTTCATAAACATATATCTATATATTGTTTATACACACGTAAATGTATCGCCAGAATTTTAAGAAAATTACCGCCCATGATCATGCCACCCGACCCATCTTCTACTTCCGAAGAAAGAGCCATTGACATCAGCGGCAGAACCTACCAACTTTACTGGTGTTACCAATGCCATCGAACTGTCAGAATCGCATCAGAAAACCCACCAATCATGTGTCCGAGGTGTTTCGGCCAGTTTGTGTATGAAGTCAATATAGCCAGGCCAAGACTTGTGGTCGAGTTCACGGAATTCGATCCTTCACCTGAGGCCCGTATACTGGAAGCACTCTCGCTCATGCTTGATCCTCCTCTTCCACAAGGTAATCAACATGATGGTAGGTTTACAGACGTCGGAATCCAACCCCCATGGGGCCGGAATCACGGATGGAGAAGGCGAAGGGTGAGAAGGAACTCTCCGTTTGACGATATGGATGGTTGGGATCCCGCAAGCGGAATTCTAGCACGTCCGCGCTCACGTTCATGGATCATTCTTACACCAAATAACCTCCCACGAATCCCAAACAGTGCTAATGACAACACTAATAATGATCCTGAAGCAGAAAATATGGTCCCGAGAGGGGTTGATCCTAGAAACTATTTTGCTGGATCTGAGTTAAACGAGTTGATTGAAGAATTGACTCAAAATGACCGGCCAGGTCCACCTCCAGCGCCGGATTCTGCCATAAACGGGTTACCAGATGTTAAAATAACACAAACCCACATTCTCAATGATTCTCAATCTTGTGCAATTTGCATGGAGGAATTCAAAGTTGGTGGAAGAGCGAAAGAGTTGCCATGTAACCACATATACCATTCCGATTGTATCCTACCATGGTTAAGACTCCATAACTCTTGCCCGGTGTGTCGGACTGAGTTGCCGGTGCCTAACATCACGACCGAGGGAACCAGTGATTCTTCTGATGATGGTAGGGGTAGGCGGCAGCGTTGTTCACGATGGAGACGATTAGCATCGATATGGCCATTTCAAACGAGGTCTGGGCATCCTAGTTCCCATGGCGATACTCGCGAAGACTCGAGGGTGCACTCTTGCAGCATCCTTTAGCCCGTGATGTTGTTTCTTAATGTAAAAATTTCGTTCTTGTGATTGATGTAATGGTTATAAGTAAAAGACAAAACTACATAAATTGTTTCTTTTGGATTCCCAAATTTGCTTTGTACCTAACTTTTTATGTTGATGAAGATGGTTCTTGATTTCAATTTATTGTTTTATTGGTAAATTGATTTTATATCATTTTTATGATTTTTTATCTTTTTATTTAATTTATTTAAAAATAAAAATTTTATTTTATATTGTTATTAAATTAGAAAATCCCGGCCTTCACCCTATTCATTTGCCTTCTTCCGTCTACCACCACTATTCACCACCATTTGCCACCATCATTATCACTTACCACATTTTCTCCTAAAAGAACTATCAAAGGTAAAAACGAATGCAAAACTTACAAATCTTGAAATTAAGGAATAACCCAAGATCAATTTATATATAAACATCAAGAATACTAAATAAATTAAAGAATACTTACTTGGATAAAGTGATAAAAGAGTAAAAGAACCCGGTTAAAAAGCCTAATATAACCCAGTTTTCAACCGGGTTTCTTACGGGCGAGTCCTATGTTGAAAACCTAATAGAGCCCGGTTTTACCACCGGATCATATTAGCATAATATAGCCCGGTTCCCATATACAAAACCGATTATTTTTCTTACAAATAAGACATTGTATGTATGACTATATAACCCGATTCTATTCCTTACAACCGGGTTCTACTATGACTCTCAAAATTCAACTTGTTTCATTATATAACCCGGTTCTATAATGTACCTACAATTGGATCCTTTAACAGTTTTTTTAATATTCTTTTATTAAATCTATAATCCAAGTACTAACATCCATATGGTTACAATTAGTAAATTTATTTTTTTGCATTTAACATAATCAAATAAATAAATACTTATATTAATTTGTAATGAATTTGTACACATTTTGCAACTATTAACACTAGGATCCGACATTAATAAAATGTTCTCATATGTACACCAGTTAAAAGATTTTTTTGACATCAACCGCCTTGCACACCCCACTTCCAACAAACATCAACTTGCATGCAGTTATCCATGTTGCTCACTTGAAACATCCCACTATATACAAGCCAATGAAACTAGATATACACATGAAGAATCATCTGCTTCCTGGTGATAGATGTCCATCAAGATCCTCAAACACTTGACAGAGAGAAATCAGAACACATTTAAGTAAATTATAGATGTAAAAGGGCTTTTACACATGAACCATAACAAAATTACATACATTGCAACCCCTAGTATTTGAACCTGATCATATTGGTTTACATTACATTAACTCAATAACTATTTCACTTACCCTCAATATAGCTCACGTGAAGATCTCAATTAATAACTAAATGACTACATTTCGGTTTTACCCTTATACATAATTAAATTGTCCATATCAGACGTGCACATCAAAATGGATCCAACAGCAATCATATAAATATGGAAGCTACTTGAATACTCTCTTGAGTTCATTAACAAATAAAATATTATATATTATGCATTTGTTCCTAATGTTATTTCAATATGTGATGTGGTCGTACATACATGATGCCTTTCTTATCTATTATCGGTACCAATATTAATTCAAGAAACAAACTAACGTAATTAGTAGATACTCACGTCCTTACTCATTTCTTAATGGTCCGATAAGTCTCTCCTATCATTATTTGTGTTAAATCTTTTCCCCTACTACACATCTGTAGAGGCTTTTTATGTTTTTTTTCTCCTTTTGTACATCCCAATGTTTAATGTCTTTTTTAATTTGATTCAAGTATAGGATGCAACTTGCAATTATTTTGATGCACCGTTTTTGCAGTAGATTGGCTACCACTAAGGGCAAAAACGTCAAAATACAGAACTCCGATGAAAAGACGAGTCACCTGAACTTCACCAGATGAATTTTCTGGTGTATAAATGGTATACTCCAGCAAGGAACCAGAGAGGAGTAATCAGCAGGCAAAAAAGACTCAAATTAACACCAAGGGCAAAATGGTCAAAATATGAAGCAAATTAGGAAAATAACAGGCACCAGGGATGGAGAAATATGTTGCTAACTTCTATTATCTTGAGCTAATGGATGAATAAATAAAATAAATTGCAAGAAACCATTAGAAATTATCCTCAAATATCTTGATAGGCTGAGACTAAAAGTTAAATTTTGTTTCATCATTTGTCAAAAAACTTGTGCTTTATACCCATGACATATATATATATATATATATATATATATATATATATATGTTAAAAAAATCTGATTTTTTTTAAAGATGGTAGGTTAACCTTCTCATAAATTGCATTCCCTGGCAATATAACACGATTGTATTTACAAAACTGGGTCATATGACTGCCGATAAAACATCCTGGTTTTGTCCATGAGTCCGGGTTTTTTAACTTGATAATGTAGCCCGGTTCCTTACTACAAACCGGGTCATATAGTTTTCCATTTTATAAAAAACTGTTTCTACATAATATTCCCTGGTTTTTTGAATAACCGGGTCTTATATGGTGGTTCATATGTGGCTTTTTGTAGTAGTGTATCTCAATGATGTTGAAGATGACTAAACTCCATATTATAATTATTCCACTTCACACATAATGGTGTCTAAGTGATTAATTATGATAGATTGAATCAGACTGATGATGTTTATAGAGAGTATTAAAAATATATAGAAGGAAACAATATTATTCTCTTTTAAAAACTGTATGTCCTTTAACATGTGTGTATTTACTGCACAATTACACACTATGGGAAAGTTTTAGAATCACAAAAAAATTGGTCTCTCAAGTTATGGATATATGTCATGTCCATCATACTACATACATTAATAGTAGGAACCTGATATATCATATGACAAATATTGTTATAGTACAAAATATAAACGTACCAAACACATAAAAACATTAATCAAATAGTCTGATGGTCACATTAAAGATAATAAGTTTACATGGGAGGGTGTTATGGTAATATAGATTTAAAGGTCCTTTTTAACAACTGTTTTGTTTTTCACATCTTTGACCATTTTTAAATTCAAATTTTCATAATAAAAAAGTTAAAAAACATGCTTTGCTAATATGAAACAATTTCTTATGTATCATCGACGTAGTTAAAAGTTTGGATGGATTCTTGTCCAAAATATAATGTTGAGGTGACACAATCTCATATATTTTCATTGTTTTCGCGTTTTTGCAAATTATTTGTATTTTCGAATGAGCACTCTTTTATATATATATATATATATATATATATATATATATATATATATATATATATATATATATATATATATATATATATATATATATATACATACATACATATATATATATATATATATATATATATATATATATATATATATATATATATATATATATATATATATATATATATATATATGAAAGCAATACTCTAACCGCTAAGTAAAGTAGGCAATACCGATCAATATGATCTTGGATCATGGAATTGTCATTTTGAGAATATTCATCTTGACAAAAAAATATCGACATAATAAAATATATATTACAAGCACTAAGGGCTATAGCTCAGTTGGTAGAGCACCTCGTTTACACGCGCGCCGATGTTTTTCAGGGGAGTCCATCATGGAATCAAAAAAATTGATCTTATTGACAAATCGACGTCTTACTCCATGTCTTACTTCATAACTTAGAGGGAAGAAGAGAACAATAGCTTGACAAGATATATATATATATATATATATATATATATATATATATATATATATATATATTTGTGTGTGTGTGTTTATTATTTCTTTGGCCAACTTAAGTTCTTCTTGTTTAATATTAACAATAAAAGCAGAAAAGTGCAGTCTAACGTGTTGCTTCATATGAAACTTACGATTATATTAAGTAAAATGACGTTTGTACATTTTTATGTATAACAAGTTAGTGTGGACAAGTTATTAATATAGAAAAAGTGCATATTATGGAGTAATAATCAAGTACTTGATTAATTAAAATTAAAAGTTCCAGTAAAGCACTATGCTTGAATTATATTATATTACGTCTAGCGTTAAACCCATTTTGACGACTTGTTGAAATGTTTTTGGTGTTAGACCTTTCGTAATCGGATTTGCTAACATATTATTGGTGATGACACGCTCGATACAAATATCATTCTCCTTCACTCGTTCTCATATGAACAAGTATTTAATATCGAGGTAAAACCTCACTCCACTTTGATTATTGCTAGTGGAAAAGCTTATAGAGGTAAAGTTATAACAATAAAAATTCTTTTAATAGCCTTGAAAGGAATTCACAATAATGAGTCATGTGATTAAATTTATCAACAACATTCCATGACAAGTTTCATTATATATGCCAATATATGTTTCCATCATAGTTGATGTAGTCATCAACTTTTACTTATGAGTCTTCAATGATGTTGGCGAGCTGATAGTATAAAGACGTATCCGAGTAATGAATTGTTATATTTTCATTTTGCAAATTCAAAAGTCCATCATCACATCACTTTCAAGTTAATACTTCTTTTAAACATAAGTTTGTAACTATTAGTCCCATGTAATATTTTTAATGATATAGACCTTGATTTAATTGATAACGAATCAGCTTGCCACTAACATAAGCGATGTTGGAACGAGTACAAATATGTGCATAGTTATGATTCCAACCACTAAAACGTGTATGATTAACTTCATTTTCTCTAATTATACCCATTTTTCCAAGAATTGAAATAAACCAAAATGTCTACATTACGTATAGAAGGAGTTGGTGGGAGGTATTCTTGCATGTTATATTGACTTACTACCCACTCAATATATGTATTTCAGGATAAGTCTAAATCCCTTTGGGTTCCTCAATGTATTTATATACCTATTTCATAAGAGGATTCTCCAAGATCTTACATATCGAGGTGAGGTGACAATAAGTGTTTCGATTCGTACACCATATCAATGTTCTTACTCACCAAGAAATTTTTATCTCTACATTAT